ATTATTATTATTATTATTATTATTATTATTATTATTATTATTATTATTATTATTATTATTATTATTATTATAAGTGCAATTTACAAAAATTGACTTTGATTTTTTTTAATTTTTCCAAATGCTCTTGTGCTTATTCTTCCACAAGAGTGCAAAAACAGTGCATCCATGCTACTACATACCGAAAACTTTTCTGAACATTTAGGTCAAAAAGTTCAAATTTTTTTTAAATTTTTCTAGATTTGTATTGCGTTTGGTTTATATGGTTTTGGTAAAAGCATGAACAACACTTACTACCTCGAGAAGCAGTGTAAATATTAAGAAAAAAACACCATGTGCTCAGTTATGCTCCCCAGTAGGCACAATAAAATATCTGCTTACAATTAAGAATGAAGTTTTGTTTATCTCCATTTACCATTATAGCCGCACAAGTTACATATAGAAGTATAAAATTTTTAAGAAAATAGGATCTTAAAGAAGCTATTCCACCTTTAGGACTTCGCATAGAATTTCGGGAAAAGCTTAGCGGATGGAAAAAGCAAGAGGTATGGTATTCCAGCCTAATATCCACACCCGTTTTTAAAATGTATTTCATTTTAATAGTTTGGCATTGACGATGACATAATTTCCGCTGATTCCAATGTTATAAATTGGCTTAATCGTCCAACGACTTCTAATACTTCAAGTAGCAAATCTCCTGTTTGCCGAACATACATAAACAAGGTAAAAATTCGAAGTGTTATTGTGAGCATTTTTGAAGTTCACAACAGCATGGCACCTTTTTTTAGCCGAAGTTATTTCCGTATTTATATACAGCATTTGATTTTCTACAGGATTTTTTACCCTGTTATCAAACACCGCACGTGGAACAAAAATTTTGAACTTCTACAAAGAAAACAACAGACTTGACAACATCAACATGGACGAAATAATAGCTATTTTAATCGAAGAAATATGTTACGGAAACATTTCTCCTAAACCAAGTGATTTTCATTCGCTGGTAAACGAAATTTGCTCCGTTTTTCCTAGTGAAGTAGAAACAAAGGTGATTTTATGTTATATAAGAATATCAAATAAATTAGGGCACGGTTATAAGCAACATAAAGTTAAGTTTAAAATTAGAAAGTAACAAATGTAAAAAAGATTAATTTTAAAGTTAACTTTATTGCGATTATAAACATTCGCCATTACTTCTTGATAAAATAAATATTAAAATTTTCAGGAATATTACTATATTCCCCGGACTGGAAAAAAAAATCCGAGTGGAAAACTATTCTATAAATACGTGAACTGCCGCAAGGGCAAAAAAGGTCCNTAAATTAGGGCACGGTTATAAGCAACATAAAGTTAAGTTTAAAATTAGAAGGTAACAAATGTCAAAAAGATTAATTTTAAAGTTAGCTTTATTGTGATTATAAGCATGGGCCATTACTTCTTGATAAAACAAATATTAAAATTTTCAGGAATATTACTATATTCCCCGAACTGGAAAAAAAAATCCGAGTGGAAAACTATTCTATAAATACGTGAACTGCCGCAAGGGCAAAAAAGGTCCCATAATATGCCTCACAATGAAGAAAACAATATGCAGCAATGTACTGAAGAACTCGACAATTCCATTATCAGCGCTTTAAAGTTGTAGCTCAGCAAGGAGAGCGCAGATTGGAAAGAAATTTTGGATAAGTGGGCTAAAACTTTTTCAGCCAGGCAAAAAGACTTGAAGAACTTGGCAAGTTTCGACTTGTTAAAAGCCTGGCCGAAATTGGCCGATGCACGGGCACCTGAGCTGGTAAA